GTACTTATTGCCATGGTCTAGTAATGACAGTAGGGTTGGACTCAATGATCTTTGAGGTCTTTTCCCACCAGGTTGATTCTATGATTCTATATGATGGGAACATAACATACCTGCCATTGTTAATTACTTAAAAATCTGAAGTTCTGTGGGGTTTTTGGCAGACTTCTATGTAACACATCACTTCTTACAGTCATAAGTAGAAGACAATATCAGGTACAAGCAGAATTCATTCATGCAAAACAATCTGAGTGCTTTTACAAATGAGACTCTGCAAAGTAACATTTCATTTCACTCTCTGTGAGCTCAGTTCCTTGACAGCCATCATTCCTACTGACTGCCATAAGTCCCTGCTCCCTGCCTGTCACTGCTCTTGTCCAAGGATGTACTTCTCATCTGCAGGTCTGCCCAGTCTTTTCTGTGCTCCAGCACATAAACATCCACAGCCTCCATTCAGATTTTGTGCACTTGAAATAAATGACCAACATGCACTTCACCTCACAACCAGCAAGCAGCTAGTACTGACGACAATAGTCAAGCAGAAGTTGTTCAGGTTTTCTTTACTTAAGGACAAATTTTAAAAATAGGAGAACAGTTCTAGAATGCCTAAATATAAAACATGCATTATTATTCCAACTGGAAATAACCTACTATAGACACCTTCTTTTGTGCATTAGTGTTTCTTTCCTAGGGCTTTTCTTTCTTCACTCAATGGAACTGATTCTGTATCTGTTGGGAATATTTCCATATTCATCTCCTGCTCTTGGATTATTGATTTGGATCTGTTTGGTCCATGTTTTACAGTGTAAATGATAACCTGAGAAATTATTGAAAAGATTAGTATACTGTCTCCTGAAAGAAAAGGAAAACTGAACCAGTTTCAATATAAGCTAACCTAGAGCATAACGTTTTAGAAAACTGAACACTGATGAAATAAATAAATGGAGAAAATTATGCTAGAGGCCTCAAACTTCATATTTATAGGAGAATATGAGGGGATGGAACAAGCCTCTCTGCATTCTATGCAAAAAGGATTCCTACTCATTAACACATATAAATGCTGATGGACAATTAAGTAATTTGGGAGACAGACCATGCATATGGGAAGCATTTTTGGTATTTTATGACCCCTTCCACTGACCTATGTAATTACTGTGCTGCTGGCTAATGTAGCAATACAAACCCTCTGTGAACATCTCTCTTATGAAGTCTTACTTCAATTCTAAATGGCTTCTTTATTTGTTACACAGGGATCAAAAAAAGGGGGGTTAAATTCTTTTATTTCCTCCAGTGCTATTAAAGAGAAAAAGAATCTGTAAACTTTATTAAGTAATCAATTTCTAAGCCACCTACTATGTAGTATAGTAAACAGAGCCAACTTGTATTTGGCAAGAACAATTCACGTCAAACCAATCTAGTTTCCTCTTCTGACAGGGCAAATGGCTGAATGGATAAAAAGAAGCAGTGGATGTGACATTTTTATTGTAGTAACATTTTATATGTGGCATTCTTATAAATAATACTTAAAAATCATGGGACTGTATTAGAATACATGAGTGGTGTCACCTTGAGCTGAAGCAAGACTTAGTGGGGAAAAAAAAAGGAGTTTAGGGAATAGCTGTTAATGATTTGTTCTCAGATAGAGTCTATCAAGTGGGGGCCACCAGAATCCAGCCTGGGACCTTGCCAGTGTGTTCATTTGGACTTCCAGTTTCTGAAAGAGATATTACAAGTGTGCAATTGACACTAAGGTGGGAGGGAATGACAGCAGTTCCCAATATCATCCTGAGAAACTGGACAACCAGTCCAAAAATGGAACAGCTGAGCTTCAGTAATAACAACTGTAACAGGAAATACCTGGGAAAATGAAATCAAGTGCCTCAGTACAAAAAGAGAATAACTCCCTGGGAGGCAAGAAAATGGGACTGGCCTGACTTCCTAAACTCTTCTGTATCCAGACATTGTGAATTACACACTTTTTATATAATACCACTGATAAATATACAATTTCTTCTGACATCTTCTTCCTCTAAAATGAGCTGAACTCATGCTGTTCAGTAAGGAATGTCTTGAACTTCACCTTTAAAGCATCTGAGCTGACTCCCTAAACTGACAGGCTGATCCCTAAAGTAAAAACTGAAAGACATTCCAGATTTCTAATGGTGGAGAAAGGGGCCAAAACCCTGACACATGCATCCATATTAGGAAGGATAGGATGTGCACCTCAAGACAAGAAGTATCTATGAACTATTTGATCACTTGGGTTGGTTTAGGAACCTACTGACATCAGAGGGACATTTCAAACCCTGACACAGGAACCTCTGTACTCACCTATATTTAAGCCATACAAATATGCAGGAGGATGAGTCTGTGGGCAGAAAAAGTGATTGTAATTATGTACTCCAATTTAGGAAAACATTTAATCACTTGCAGGTACTTAAATACTTTCTTGAATAGATGCAAGCTGTGTTGTTTCCTGAGTTAGGGATTATAATGTAAGATCATGGTTGTGATTCCAGATCTAAATGATAGCCAGCAGGTATCAGATGAAGGTCTAGAAGTGAGATTTAGATGCTTAAAAAGCTTTGAAAATCTGAACCTAAAAGAAGAAATCATTTCCTTTATAAATATGAAACTATAAATAGGAACAGCATGTAAAGCTCATAGATTGGACTCACTCTTGAATATAATCCTTGCGGGAAGAAATTAGACTAGCTGGAGTAAACCAGTGGCATAACAAGCCACTTAAGGTGAATTCTCATGAGACATACCTGTAATCTTAAATGCTTTCTGCAGTATACTCAAATCCCCACCCATTTCTCTCCACTGCTACGTTGCAGTATTAGTTCTTGCCAAATCAAGATCCTGCTCACAAACTCTGTGTGGTGTTTGGCAATGGAGAAAACTGCTCACTGCAGTACTAACTTAATTACAGACTGACTTAAGTAACATTACACGTAATGCACTTGCCAGTTGACAGGCAGAAACCTGCAGCACATAGCAGCTGTCCCTCCATCTCTGCACCTTGGCCAACTCATCAGCTTCTCTTCACCATGCACTTCCAGCACCTCACCCAAAACATGCCCATGGGTTTTGGACTTCTGCACAACAGAAGGTGATTGTCTGTGAGCAGAAGGAGTTTGTGCTGTCTGTAACACAAATGTAAGCAAGGAAAGGGAGTGGGACAAACTACAATGCCGGTGGCTGTGTGGGGTAGAGACAGCCACACTGGTACTCTCACCACAGTAACACAGAGCTCTGCAATGCTTAACTATTTTCTGCTGGTTTGGGCACCATCATTAGAATACCATCATTTGGAATGGTGGTATTCCACATACAGTGGAATATGACCACAGACATGCAAGTCACAATCATCGTTAAGCATCTCTGCTGTTAAATCGAATTACATGGATGGGGAGATGGAAGTGCTTTATGGTCAAGAGAGAATCTGAAAGGGTCTTGCATATGCAAACTTGCCTGGTCCTCCACTAAATATGCCACAGGGCTAAAAAAGGGGTGTAGTTCCCAAATGGTCAGTCCAGCACCATTCCTGAGCTTTACAATCATTTTAATTTACATGCAATTAAAAAAATAGATATTACGAATGAAGATTATCTTACAAGGAATGTGTAATTTACATTTTTAAGCTCAGACTATTTCCATGTATCCCACAGAAGTTCCTGCTCTGAATGGCCTAGTTGACATTCTTTACTGTCTTAGTTCATCTCTTCCTGTTTGAAGGTGATTTTTTTATCCTACATTGGAAAAGCAATTCTACAGAACAAGAACTCATCTTAAGTCCCTGGTGCTTATGCCATGGAGAACATGATAGACTACACAAGTACTTTGATCCCTCTTAGCACTAAGAGTTGTATTATTCATCCAGATATTGACAGTCGTCTTGGACATCATGTGCCCTTGCAGTGTTTTTAAAATCCTATAGGTATTTCAATAAATGCTTTTATCTTGTGCAACCACACAGGTATTAACATAGACAATGCTTACAGAATGACATGGGATAAAATGGGTATTTTTAGAATTGCCTCACTTCACAAACCAGTACAATAGCTATCAAGCCACAAATAACTCACTATGAATTCTTCTTATAAGCAAACAGAGGAAGTGTAAGTTTAGGAAGAGACAAGGAGTTCAGAATATACAACGTATTAAAATACCAGATTTAGTACAGTTAGTAAAAATATATATAAATGTTGGCTTTGTTTTGGGTCAGTGAAAACATAAATTAGATTTTATTCCAGAGATCAATTTGAAACTTGGGCAGAAATGCCTAACACTTAACAACCATCAGTAAGTCCAAGTTTTTCTGAGATAAAAACCAACAAAAGCAGTGAACTATTAAATTCATGACCAATTTTCTGACTTCTGGACACACCTATTTATGCTGTTACAAAAGTGGCTTTTGCTGCATAATGTATTCTTTTGAGACTCCTGCTGTATTTTGTGGTTTTAGCTTCTCTCTTCTGAAGTATTACCTATTCTGTCAGTGAAGAAGCAATGAAATCTCAGCAGAATTTAAAACCATTGGCCTTGTGTGCTTTGCCCCAATTCCTATGACAAGCTGAAGAGCTTTCCTAAGGAATGGTGTGTCAGCCATCTGATTACAGCTGTCTCTGGATGTGACCTAACGAGCAGGAGATATGAGGGAAAAAGTAAGTGTGTTGGAAATGGATTCTGAAGGACTGTCAGCAATTTGTTTGGGGCTTTCTTGAAGCATTGCTATGTTGAGTTCTGTTGCTGTGTTTGAGAGTAACTTCAGCTCTCTGTAGGTCAGCACCCTTACTTTGGCCTACCTTCCACTGAATGCTCCCGGTTGTCTTATGGATCCTTTACCAAGAAAATGGAAAAGCAGCTCTTAATTTCCCTCTGGCTAGATTTCACAACATGTACTTGGAGACATTTAATACACCACAATCTGTGATTTTCAAAGTAACTTGTGTTCCAATACTGGTTTTATAGGCATTTTTTGACAGACTCAAACTTACCTATAGTGCTGCAGTTCTGATTCCAGCTGCTGAATGTATATTAGCAGATGTGGCACCTCATTAGCTTTCACTTCTAGCTCCTTCACTTTGCCAAGACTGTTCAGGACGGCGTGTCTTGCCTCTTCAACCTTCTTCCTCATTTCTGCTTGTTCCCTCTTCAGGTTACGGTTGCAGTCTTCCAGACTGACCAGAGCTTCCTGAGAACTCTTCAGCTCTCTTTCCAGCTCTTGATTGAACCTGATTGCTTCTTCAATTTGCCCATCCCTGGAGCTCCGGATGAGTTCCATTTCCTTCAGGACACTTTGAAGGCACTTGGATTGGGAGTGGTTCTGGGTTAGAGGTCTCTCACTCCCTATCAAACAGGTCCCCTCTTCCTTATGGTTAGCATGGCTCTTCCGCAGTCCTACCTGTAATGACCAGGAGCAGAAAGCAGGGAGGAATTCATGTGTTTTAAAGCAACTGACATTTCAATCAAGACCAAAAATGGCTGGATTGTGTTTTGTTGGGTTTCTTTAATCACACATAGCTGATCAGCAACTAGCAAGCTACTTACTTTTGTGAAATACAGAGACAAGAAAACAATCTCTGGAAAGCAGCTTTTAATATGTGTCTATAAATTTAATTTTCAAACTACTCATCATTAGGTTAT